TCAATGCTAATTATTTTTTAAAAATATGAAAATAATATTTTTTTTCTTAGGTTAAAAAATTGTATTTAATGTTACATGTTTATGTTTACCGAGGTTTACACCCTTTTTTTTTAAGGTTAAATGTAATCCTTTAACATTTTCCCTTCTAACAAAAGCTACCGAAAAAAGTTGAGGATCTGAAGCGAAATATCAAGAAATTGATTTTTTAATGGAAGGAAAAATACATTAATATTATGATTAAAGATGTTTTCTAAAGAGGTTTAAATATTTTTATAGGCTATGAAAACTGATATTAATTGGGAAATAAAATTAAAATCCTAACACAAAAAAAATTAACACAAAATTCAAAACTAAACAATAATAACTAAAATAACTAAAAAATTAACAAAATCAGTTCAAATATCAATTTATAAACCTAATTTCTAGAGATATAATTAGGATGCAATTGCTCTTAATTAAAAAACAACAGGTAAAATCTTTTATAGAAATTTAAGACTAATTCATTATGTTATTTTTATTTTAAGTAATTATCTTAGTATATCATGACCAAAATTTCTTTTAATTCAGACATATCTTACAAGTTTATAAAAATATTTATTAAATATTGGTTAGGATCATATTTTTATATAATCACAACCTCCAGCCTATGTAAAAGCCGGCTATGTCACAACCCCTTTCCATGGTCAATAGTGAGAAGAATAAGAGTGGTTCATGTTATAGGCTTTAAAAACTGACATGAAATAGGAAATAAAATAAAAATTCTAACACATGAACAAATTTAACACAAAATTCAAAAATAAATAATAATTCCAAAAATAATTGAGAAAAATAACAAAATCAGCCCAACTACAAAAATAAATAATAATTCCAAAAATAATTGAGAAAAATAACAAAATCATCCCAACTAATAATTTATAAACTTAATTTTAAGAGATATAATAGTCTATGAGCGATGTAATAACTCTGAATTGAAAAACAACCAGTAAAATCACCTATAAAAATTTAAATTTAATTTAATGATTAAATATTTTGTTATCTTCATTTTAAGTTATTATCTTAGTATAGTACAATTAAAATTTTTCTTAAATTCAAATATATCTCACTAGCTCATAAAAAAATTTATTAAATTATCTATAACATCTATTTGGAATATACTTTTGTATATCTTATTAGAACCTCCTATCTTTGTAAAGTTGGTTACATCAAAACCCCTCTTAACAGTTAACAATAGAAAGAATAAAGAGTAGTTAAATCTAAGGGTTGTCGTTTAACTGGTCAAACTCTAGATTTATTTTCTAAAAATTATTAGTTCGAGTCCCACAAATCTCAAGGCGCTAGAGATTTATATAATCGTTTATTTCAGGACCCGTGAAGTTAATCGAAATGCACATAAGTTGATCCCTAGACATCTATGTTAATAAAAAAAAGAAAAAAAATGGCTCATATTAGTTGGGATTTCTTCCTTTCGGTTCATCTTCCTGTTCTTTAGAAAGTGTGGCTTCAACAATCCTAATTCTTATATATATGAGCCAGAATAAAGAACTTGCCCAGCTCATAAATCATTACATGCACCTTAGGTAATTCTTTCGTGCATCTTTTAGCAGATAATGATACAATCAGTATGGTCAAAACAGTGTATGTTCAGCATATATGATCACAATTTACATCGAAACATCATTTTCGTGCAATATAAAAGAGTGAGAGTTTAATCCCATGATCATATCATCACCGAATTAAAGCCTGCGTTGATGAGATTCTAAGATTGTCTAAGGTGATCAGTATCTTTTGTTTGGATGCCTCTGTTTCACCAATATCCTGACAGTTTTCAGCTTTTCCAACAACATATTTTATCTGTTAATTAAGCATGTTAATGCTGGAAAAGCTGAAAACTATGTCAAAACCCTAGCTCATCTTTTAATCAATTAGGGTTTTCTAAAAAAACATGGTTGTGATTTAGATAATATGATGCGAGTCCATAAATAATTGCAAGTTGTACGTTGAACTTGGGACTTTAGTTCTTAATTTATTAAGGAGACAGCAAGTTAAAGACAGTCTACACCATTTTAAAATCATGATGCATGTAATGGTGGAATAAACAGGAAAAGGTAGGTGCCAAAGAAGCCACTTGTGATGATCCTGTCAGAGTGTTATAAACTATTTTTTTTTTCTAAATTTATTCATGAATTTAAAATGTATATGAAATTTCGAAGGTTTGATTGATGTACTCTACGAGGCATGGTCACTGCTAAATCGAACGGGCTTAGTCAAAGTTTGCAAATTGCATAACAAGCTTGAATGCGAAGAAATAATTCTGAAAGAAGATAGCTCAAGGTTCAGTGAATAATCTCTTCACATCCTCCCACCAAGCATGTATATACATAGTTCAAGGTTCAATTAATTGAAGTTTCAAAGAACGAATACTATGTTTAAGTAAGAGATATACTCCAAGGAGAAAACAAATAATGTTTAAGGTTTACCACGAAAAATTAGAAATTTATAAAAAAATCATCGAAGAGGAAGTTTTGAAGTGAGTTTCTTTCTTCTTTTTTTTTTAATAGCTTGGGAGTTTTCATAGACCACTTGGCGGTTTTTTCTTTAAAAACAAAGAAGAAGAAGTATAATTTGCCGATCTAGGAAATGACAAGGAAGAAATGGTCGCTTCCGATGTGTGTGTTTGTGTGTGTGTGTAATGGTGAATTGCTGACGCTTCTTTCTACAAAACATGCATACTGGGAATGGCTTAAGAAAGAACAAGGAGGAAAAATTAGTGGTTGCCTTGGGACTTGGGAGAATAGCTGTTGATATTTTGAAGCAGCATATCATGGATGTGATGCAAGAGAATCTTGAGAAACAGAAAAGGAACAAAAGATAGGCAAAGTGATTGTCAAGCATATGTGCCAGAGCCACCCCTGCCAAAAGACCACCTTTTTCTTAAGCCGTGCAAAGATACCATGTCCAATGATATGAATTAAAGGCTAATATTATTATCAAGAACCCTGATCCAAAATCAGGAAAAAAAAAGATGATGGAGATTTAGACGAATATATATCTGCATGGAGACAGGAATTGGGGAGGGGGGGTGGTTGTTGCTTGCTTCCATGGACGTCCCATCCATATGTAGCTAGGATTTATTCCACCATTATTTTTATAGCTAGGGTGACCTAATTAAATAACAGTTATCTGATCAGGTTTATCAAGTAAATGTAAGGGGATGTTAACTTTTATCGATCTATATTGGTCATTGAAGCCGCCACTTAACATTGTTCTATACAGTTAATGACAGTACTCGACAGATAGTAATATCTTTCTTTCTCTCTTTCTTCTCAAAACATTTCAGAATCGATTTTTTTTAATAAAAAACTGTTCTATGCATCATCTGACATCAAACTCTGCCTATGTTAGAAGGAGTTAACCAAGTTATTGCATATTATTACCCACCTTACGGGACATATCAACTTGCAGAGGGTTGCAAGAAAAGGAACAGGTGAAAGTGACTTGATGTCGAGTTCCCATTTTCCTTGAGAACTTTACCATGTTTGCATGCACTTTTTCTAATGATTTGGGTTGAAAAATAAAAATGTTTGTTTGTGGTCCAAAAACATTTCTAATTGAGTTTTGACAAAACAAACCGGCAAAGGTTGTGTATTAAAGAATATAGAGGCGAAAGTAGTTTACTTGCCATTGTTTTTCATACCCCACTTGCACTCAACCACCAATGAAACTCCTCCTACGAGAGAATCATGCACCATCTGATAGCTCCTTCATTGATCTTTTGCGAGTCCCACAAATTAATAGCTCTTACTTTTAACCTAGATTCCATGCTTCACAAACCATTCTTTGTGATGGTTCCACCGATCCCTCAAGTGCTTGTCTCTTCCCTTTTCTGTCCGCGTCAAGACCGCCTTTCCGCTCTTCATATTTTTGGCTTCTTTACTCAGCTGCTTCTCGCTTAAAAGCCCGAGCCCCCTCATTGGATCCCACAACAAAAACTTGAAGAGCAAAACACTTGTGCCCTCACCCAACCCTCCCTCTCCTACCTACCCTTTTTTTTTGGCACTTGGCATCTTTTCTTCTCCTGCGTATTTGGTTGCCTAAAATGACTGGGAAAGGGACCCAAAGCAGCCCAATTGGAAGCCCCTCGTCTGAGAACATCTCAGACAGCTCTTCCAAATTAGAGCAAGACCGATTCCTCCCCATCGCCAACGTAAGCCGGATCATGAAAAAATCCCTCCCAGCAAATGCAAAAATATCCAAAGAAGCCAAGGAAACTGTCCAAGAGTGTGTCTCTGAGTTCATAAGTTTCATCACTGGCGAAGCATCCGACAAGTGTCAACGAGAGAAGAGGAAGACTATAAACGGTGATGATCTTTTGTGGGCTATGGCCACTCTAGGGTTTGAAAATTATGTTGGGTCCTTGAAGGTTTATCTCAACAAGTATAGAGAGACCGAGGGAGAGAAAAATTCCATGACTAGACAAGAAGACCAGTTATCCCCCACCAACCATGGCACTGTCGGTACTCATGAAACTAACAAAGTCAATGGTACTCTTACTGACCCGTCAACTGAGATGGATCTTCAAAGTTTTAACAATGGACTCTACTCGCTTGGCACTGAAGTTACAGCCAAGAGCTATGGGGAAGACACAAGGCTCCTTGGCTATCAAGAGAATTTTATGGCTGGTGATTTCAACATGAATAGGATAGGCGAAAACGGAGACAGGAATTGCGATAGAGCTAGGGCAGCTCAGCTTTATCATGGGGTTGGGTGGTAGAGATATACTGATCTTATATATTTATATAAGCTTATCTCTTACTTTGTTAGATCAATTCACTATCTGCATCTACTTGTCCACATAAATGAAGTTATTGCTGATTGTGCTCTGAAAGTATGAACATCGTAGAGCTAAGAATAATCTCCATGAAATCTCTTATGCCTGTTCATTTAATATATAGTTCAATCACTACAATCTACAACCGTGAACGTAAAGGAAAATATTATACTTGTGGTAAGTGGTAACTTTCTTTTTATTGATGAATAATTAATATATATTACAGATTCATTCACAGAAACAATCGTTACCCATATATATGACTGCCTCTAAAAACTCATCAAAGATGTTCGGCTATGCATACTATACAGAAGAAAAAATCGACCTGGAGAATATGACCTCTTAGTATAGATTCATTATTTCTACTCTGGCAATTACACAAGCAAGAGGGGGGAGGCACTGTGTACTCTGCACTGCTGTCATTCCTACACAGAGCTTTTAATATTTTTTGAACTGAAGTTCTATCTTCTCAGTAGTCCAAACACAGAACATCAGCCCAAGAATGAAGCTGAAAACCAAGGTGTAGGGGTTTTGCAGAGCCAACTAAAGCGGTGCGTGGTGCTTGCAAAGGAGACTGATAAAGTAAAAAATTTCAATATCAATTCCAAACCAGCTGAGCCAGCAAGTCAAACCTCAAAGAGAAGTAGTGCACCACAGAAATACGAAGCAATAGCCGAAGCTGCCATTACATGGGCGGGAATTGAGCCCCTATCCCCATGATCAGTCCAACTACATCTCATCAAAGGATAACAATAGCATCATCCTGAATATTCCAAAATAAATCCGAAGGAAAGTCAATGATCCAATGAGACCTCAAGCAAGCACAAAATGAATTGGAAACGGGATTCTAGATGTCAAAACAAGAATTAATTAATCAAATGTCAAAATCCTATTATAATGGATGGTCTTCTCATGGCCACGCGTATACTCTCAAAAACAGCGTCACTTGCCTCCTCGTGAGTGCTTCCAGTTTCAGAGCGGTTTCGCCGTTTTTATTCATTTCGCTATCCATTAGTGTAGTGTACAGTATCTTTTCCAACTCAAGAACTACGGGAAAAGCACATGTATTAGTGGTTACTGTGAATTTTAGGAATCAATTTCATCACCACAGAAAGTTGGGGGCTATAATGCCACCTCGAAACATGGGGTTGTGGACTCTTGGGAGGCCAGATTCCCCACGGAGATTCCAGCTCGACTGGGAGCCTGGCGCCAGGGTGGATTGATAACCCCCAACTGAGACTGGGAGCTATCGATAATTCTCTTAAAAAAATTATTTCATCCGCAGTAGTTCGTTTTCATTTAATCAGGGCATCACCAAAAGAGGCTGAAAAGTAGCTTTTAAAACACTCCTATAATGCTGTTGATCCATGATCACATGAAATCCACCATATAAACACCATAAAATACAAGAAATGCTCTTAATTTAGACCACAAGGTGTGAATGCATTAACCAGACACGGGAGGACCAGCATGGGGCTGTCTATTTCTGTGTTTTTCTCTCTTTCACGGATTTCTCTAAGGGTGCCTTCCAGCTCTAGTGATTTAACTTTGGGGCCGAGAGAAAGCCATGTGATCAGGAGGCAATTGTGTTAACTCTGATAGCATTAGCAAACCAGGGAGATTTTCCTGACAACCTACACTGACATGCCCGTTTCGTCGTTATATCAGCGCACCTCCCAAAAGGGAAGCCCTCGTAACTAAGAAGAGAAACATCCTTGTAAAAGCTTATCAACAGGATAAGATGGGCATTGGATCTTTTACACTTTCGGCCAAAAAAATAACAAAGGGGTGCAATGGTGCTTTGCTTTCAAAGCAAGACACAAAAACTGTTGAAAAAAAGGGGCTTGATAATGGTACTCCATCAATTTACAACAGCAAAATATAAATTATTGAATTTGCCGTTGTGAATTGGTGGGAATGGTATATCATCACCCACAAAAAAAGAGTTTATTGGGCATGCATTGTTTTCTTAAGTAAAAGTACAGCCTTTTAAAAGCAAAGCCATCAATTACCGATTAGGCATTTGATTTTAACAACACAAAAGGTGATGATAGAAAATGAAAAGAAGAATATTCTATCATTGCCAAAACGAAATGGTAAAACAGACGCTGGGGGAATTGACAAAAGTAGCTCGTCCATGTAATAAGCAATCCTTGCTATTCTAATTCTAATACAAAGCAATGACAGTTTTCTCAGGCTCGTTCCTGGGAACAAATAACATTAACAAGACCACTGAAATGAAGAAATGGATTCCACTACAGCATGTGTTCCACCTGTTGAATGAAAGACTCCTCCCAAATTCCCTGCCCCCCAACACACACACACACACACTGTTTGTTACTTCTACAATTAACTCAACAAACCAAAAGAGAAGAAATGCTTGTGCACTTTTTATTCAGCCCCCATGTGCCAACATATATTCCACCATTCACTTCTTCATTCTTTTGTTGTATTTGCAGTCAAGTGATGTACCTTCAAGTGCAAACGTTATCTCTCCTGAAAAACCTCAAATATCAAATCAATTCCAGTAGCCATAGTGGTCCCTGGCATCTAAAATATGCATTTCTCTTCAAGAAATTACCTTCCAAGTATACTATTCAGTGACTTTCCGTTGATACCATGAATCAATTGCAAGAAATCCCCTAAACTCAAATGAAACAACTACATCAGAAGTCCAAACTCCCACATTGTTTGCCCTCAATATTCTTTGTTCCATTACTTTGTTTCACATCCTTCCAATGGTTGTTATCTAGGCCTCGACTTCGTCCAATTCCCAGCTTAGGCAAACCCTTATTCAGTCCTTCAAGCAGAACACAGGCTTTACACCATTTCTGTGCATGGAGCATCACCATGAAACAAAATATTTGTAAGCAGTTTAGAAGCACAGCTAAACATTCTAGGCACTACCAGAAAAGGATTTTATATATATTAGATGAAAGGTTTTTTTCTATGGTCCTGAAATAATAACTTTGGAATCAATACCTGATTAATATATAATTGCTATGTGTCAGATAAACCTGCTATATCAGGTTAATACTACTGGTTTTAATCATATGCTAGAAAACAATTGCAAACTTTGGATGATTCTTTTATCAATTTACTACCAAGTTTTAATTTCATGGTGGAAAATTTATTAGTTTCAATCCAAGGGTTTTATAGCTTTTCAGGATAGATTCTGAAAATTTTAAACCGGGACTACCCTGCATGAAATGCATCACATCTACACCATTCAGTCTATCAGATGAGTTGTTCCACCAAACTCATTCCAGATATTAATCCAATCCGAACTCCAAGCTTATCTTGCTTAAAAGCACGAGCAACACTCACCTGGCTTGAAATGTAACCACATCGTTCACATGTCCCCTGCTCTGGCATTTTCGTAGAAGTGGAAATTCTAAAATCTTCCCCCGATTTGATAATGTCAAGTATTGCCCTTGGTCTGCATCAGTAATCAACCAATAATTAATAGGGTAACACAGAGAGATATAAGAAGAGCATCACCAAATTTTTGGGGCATACAGTGTCTACTTGCATGTAGTAGCGAATGCAACAAGAAGATCATTAATCAACCAATAATAATTAATAGGGTAACACAGAGAGAGATGAGAGGAATATCACCAAATTTTTGGAGCAGACAGTTTCTACTTGCATGTAGTAGCAAATGCAATAAGAGGATCATTAATCCATTGGCATATTTATACTTCTAACATCCCCCCACCCCCAACACCAAAAAAAAAAAGATGAAGAGGAAGAAAAAGAAAACGAAATTTCACAAAAATAGAAAATAGAATCCTGTTTCGATTCGATGATACTAACAGGGGAGAATAAACAGAATAGTTACCTCATCCTCTCCAAATCTTTGATGAACTCACGAGCAAAACCACGATATGCATTAGGTGAATATATGCCTGCAACAAAATACTCTGTAAATAGAGGCAGACAAGCTCAATGCCAAAACCCAATTGATAGACACAAACTTCAGACACCAAGTCCCAACATCCCACAGAAGACATGAAGGAAAAATGTAGGAAAAATAAAGTAACAAAACAAAAGCAAATTATAACCAAGGAAAAGGGGGGAAAGGGTAGTACATTCAGTGGAGAAGTAGTCCAGCCTCTTGAAATAAGCATACGTGAGCATCTTGTTAAGGTTCTCAACTGTCACCACTAAGAAACAGATAGCAATGAAATACAATAAGCAATAAAGAATCTCCATGGGAACTTAACACCATAACCATGAGGATATATAACAATCTCCTTCTCATATGTGTACTTAAATGGCTTGCATCTTGGAATTGGTCCATCCTCCCCAGTGGTTATTGAAGTGCATCTACTCAATCTGCAAGGAAAGTTAAATCCACTCGAGTAACCAAACAATCAGAGGAAGATAAGAAGAAACAAGAACCTCCAACCAGAATGCATTACCTAGCAATATCCCCTCGCAATATATTCAAGAGTACAGTTTCGGCAATATCATCTGCATTGTGTCCAGTAACCAGCTTGTCTACTTTCAACAACGCAGCACCACGATCAAGGGCCTTAAAGACAGAAATAAACCGACCCCATCAAATACATAAATCTTATTCTTCACATGAAAATATCAATATCAAACTGCATGCTAAAACTTTTCGCTAAGATCTAATATCTAGCATATTTTCAAAAACCATTTGAGGCATAAGTTTCAGTTCAAAAAACTTTATAGGGAATTGTTTTTTAAGTTTGAACTAAAGCATTCTATTTCTCAATTGACTGAAGTAAAATAAGAGATGCGTGAATAAAGCAGTTTAAGAATGACATAAATCAGGCTGTATGAAGCATTAATTACTTGCCTTGACTAACAACCCAATCAGTGACTTGAACTCGGAACTTAGTTTGGAATAAAAGCAGGGTGTTTTCAACATCATTATTATGAATTTAAGTAATTGTCCATCTATTATTGTCAACGTTGCTTTAGTGTTGCCTTTTTCTATACTCAATTATTAATTCTTTTTTTTTTCTTTTTCAGGAGGGATGCCCTAAAACATGTCATTCAGGCACCAGATAATCATTTGCAGACATCTATTTATGGGGCCTAATGACATATCTTCTATATACAGAGCAAAAACAGAAAGCATCAGGAGCGTTAGGGAAACAAAGAGCGATATAAATACCTGCCTACGAAAAACACCACAAAATGTACAATTGTTCTTTAAACCAATCATCTTCACTATCTCATCCATCGTCCATCCATACAAATCCTTGTAGGAAACAATCTTTAACGGCAGCCCATACTAAGAAAAATAACAGCAACCATTACATTTGGATTCAAAATTAGCATGCCCTTGCAAAAATCGAATCACTCGCACATTCCAATTCCAATCAAACAGAAAAGGCTAAAGCTTAGCTACCTGAATTTCATTTCTTTTAACTGTCTCGAGCGAGTCATCCCTGTATCCAGTAATGCCTTCATCAACAGACAGAAGGAAGAGATCCAGCCCATAATTGTGTCGACGATTCAACTCGGATAAAACATAAGCAAGCACTGTCGAATCTGCAACAAACAAACCAAACATAATCACAAAAT